CGCGGCGGGGGTTCTTCCCCTTAACCAGAAACTGGGGCCGCTTCCTTTCCCCACCCCGTTCCTCGCTGGGGGGGCCCCGCGGGGGACAGCGCCCGGGCCCCCCTTCCCTTCCCCGTCGGCGTCCCTAAATGTTCCACGGCCGGGGAAAGGGCTTCCTAAAGACCCCCTAGCGCCCCCTCGAAGGACCGTCGGCGCAACACAACGCCCAGCCCGCGCCCCGCAACCTTGGCGGCGGCGGCCTGGAGGAGCCGCGCATCCCGCCGCCGCCCCCGGAAGCCTCACACCCGCTGCCGCCCCCCGGCGCCCGAGGAGAAGGCGGCGGGCGCCCCCCAGGGAAGATGAAGGCGGAGGGGGGTGACCACTCCATGATCAACCTGTCGGTGCAGCAGGTCCTGAGCCTCTGGGCCCACGGGACGGTGCTGAGGAACCTCACGGGTAATTGATGCTCCGGGGTGGGGACGGGATGCGGGGCCACCCCTCGCCTTCTTCCTCCCTCCCGAGCAGGGGAAGTGCTCCTTGCCTTCCCGCCCCACCCGGTGTGCGCCTCCTTGGGAGACCGCGGTCCCAGGTGCTGGCCGGGAAGGTCTTACTGGAGCCACTCCGCGCGGGTTCCCGGGGGCGCCGACGGCCGCCACCCGTTCGCCCCGCACTCGGAGGCTTCCCAGTCTCGGGGGTGTGCGGGAGAGAACCCCCGACCCCCGCCTCCCGCCTGGCAGAGGGAGGGCCCACGGCCCTGCCTTCGTAGTACTCGCGGGGCAGCATCGCTGCCGAGACTTGTGCACAGTTGGCTTTTATGTACCCCCTCTTCCCCGCTAGCGCACACGCGTACACGCGCACCGCTTTTTTACTGTTTAGATCTTTTTCTGTTTAGCTCCTCTTCTTTCTGGCATATCTCAAACTGAACGCAGGACTTAAATTTCCTGCTCATGATCAATTTGCTTCCATTGTTAACGTTTTGTTTTTTGGGAAGATAGATGACATGAAGTAGATTACAGTGGGTCAGGGGCTGGGCCAAGGTCTAGTGATTGTAAGCATTTTAGTTTCAACCCTATATCTCCTCTCTCTTCTATTTCCTTTTGTCTGTCTGTCCTCCCCCCCCCCCCTCGCCTCAAGCTGCTGCTTCTGTGACATTTGATAATTTTGTGCATTTCCCTTCATTCTCAAGGCTATCGGGAGGGAATTGGACTGAATTACATTATAATAATTAGCATCAATTTATAGTGGTAAAAATGAGCAGTAATACTCATATTTTTATAGGATGTCTGGGCTTGCTTTGTGAAGAAACTTCTGGGTTTGTTAATGTGGAAATGCTTGTATTATCATACTCTGAGTTCTGAATTTTAAAAAGACCCTCTAGATTAGTATTTACAAGAAAGAGATTCTTTTGCATTTTGGTGACTTCTCGGTGCCTTATCCTTAGAGAAAAAACTTTAAAACATGCCCAGGATTTGATTCTTGAAAATGTATAAGGCAGCTAATTTTGATAGAACATTAGTATTTCAAAATGCATTATGTCAAACTGGCTAAGAGTAGGAAGAGTATACTGCAAATATAACTGGTATGCTATGGATATATATATATATATATATATATATATATGAATTATATACCACAAGGATGACTTAGAGACACTGGTTTTCTTGAATGTGGAAGCTATAAAATTAAATTCTGGATTGACTCATGATGTCCTCAGTTTTAATATGTGGTTATTTAACTTGGAGCAAACTGACCTTACATGATGGTTTAAAGATAGGAACATGTTCTTAGTTCTGAAAAACTATGTTGACATAAAGACCATTGTATGATTCAATGGAATTTAGGGATAGACTGCTTTGCCTTTTTACTATGGTTTTGCCTCATATTTGTTCATTGTGTATATTTCAAATGTTGTATTAGTTAGAGTATTTAGAAGAAATAGCTTTGGGGAACAGAGAAAATGTAAATGTAACTTACCTCTTGGCTGGATTTTACAATATTTTAAAATATTTACTTTAAGATTCTAATCATTATTTAGCAGCTTCCAGTTCTGCAAGTCAACCATTACGTTAGTAATAGTAGTTAGAGCCCAGGGTTAGCTCTAATTATCTCCTAATACAATCTTAATAATCATCAGTTGCTCACAGGACGTTGCCATTTCATGGAGGATATGCAGAATGTCCCAAACTAGGACTGGAGTGGGCCTGGGGAATAAATGGAAAAAAGTAGAGTGTGAGTATGCAAAATGGTTTGTCAAGGTAAAAATGGAGAAGGAAATAGATTAGAAATATGTTTCACCAGCAGTTGAGTATACCACATGTTAGGAACCACATCACTTTGGACTTTGGAAGTGGTAACATTCTGATGTGGTTCTTTATGGCCTTCTCTGTTCTGGTGACATATGTAGCTTAATTATTAGTCAAGATATGCTACCCACCTTTTAAATTTGGTCTATTAAAAACAAATCCTAAAACAACAAAAAATAATTTCTGCTATGTATCAGGTACTTCACATATATTATTTCTAATCTTCAGAATAGCTCTCCAAAGTAGATTTACAAAGAAGCTCAGAGAGGTAAATTCAGTTGCCCCAAATCACAGAGCTAGTAAATGGCTGAGCTAGGCTTTAAAAACCCAGTCTTGGCCTGCAGAACGACTCTTTCCCCTTTTCCAGGATGTTTGCTTCATCCTGCTCCTTGTATATGCTTTTCAATTATATTTTTCAATTGTGTTATAGACTGTGAGCTTTTTGAGGGTGGAATCAATGTCTTAATCACTGAATTCTGGAACCCTAGCATTATAGTATCTGGCACATAGTAAATGCTCAATACATATTTACAGAATTTTAAAAATAGTACTTAACAGTTCCATGATTTAAACATTCTATTTGTATTATTTTTTGGCTACATCTTTTGAAGTAAATATGCTGTTAACTAGGGAATGAGGTGTTTCCATAACTTTTGTAGATAATTGTCAAAGCTTTAAAACACAAATGCTTATTGAAAGTGCTTTTGTGCTAGTTAACCATACTTCCATGTATTTTATTTAATGTTGTCAACAATCTTGAGATTGTTTATCCTTATTTTACACATTTAGACATTGAAATAAAGAGTAACTTGCTTACATCTGATAGCTAATAAGTTAAATATCATTACCTTTTTTCAAAGTATGATAACATTAACTCAGAAAGCATTTTGTCATCATAATAAACTTGGAAGAGAAGCAGGTAAAAGAAAGGAGCCAGACTGATTTGGATTTAAGATATGACTGTGTAAAGGATTTGTAGAATTCTGATTAATAGGAATTCTGGTTATTAAAAGCCAATTAAAGGGGGAACACACTCTCATTTCTATTTTTTTGAAAAATATTTTTTTATTGATTTCAGAGAGGAAGGGAGAGGGGGAGAGAGATAGAAACATCAGTGATGAGAGGGAATCATGATCGGCTGCCTCCTGCATACCTACTGGGGACCGAGTCTGATACCTGTGCCTATACCTTGACTGGGAATCAAACTGTGACCTTCAGGTTCCCAGGTCGATGCTCAACTACTGAGCCACATCAGACTGGCCCTATTTTTTTCTTTATACAAACCAAAAGTTTTTTTTTCTTCTTCTCTTTATATCTTATCCCATAAGTGAAGCGGGAACATTTTTTATTGACCTTTTTGTCTTAGAGACTGACCTTTAGAAGGCAGTCTTGAGTATGTATCACTTTGATAGAAATAAATGTTTAAAAAGTGATCATGAGAACTAACTTAATATTTTAGAGCTAGAAGTTATGTTGTTCAGCGACTTCCCTTTGGAAATATCAAATGTCACATTGTCGAAGTGAAGGGCATGGCGGGGATCAAACAGTTGCTTAATGATGGAGGCAGGGCTGGAACTAACCTTCCCTGACCCTTAGTTCTGTGCCTTTTCCTTTTACTCCACATGGCTTTTTTCAGGCAAGTCTGTTGAACGATTAATCTTAATGTACTTAAGAATAGCGTGGTAAGTATTTGTCCCAATGAGCCCAAGAATGTATGACTGGAATTTATTTCTATCCATCTAATAAAATATATTAGGAAATGCAAGAATTATTGAATAATAGTGCTTTGTAAAATTTTAAGTTGCTTTTGCCTATGTAAAAGTTAGTGATTCATATTTATATATATCCACTTTTAGAAATCCTATGAAGTTCAGGCTGCTATTTATTTTTCCTCCTTCATGGAAGACACTAGGATTGAGGACTTCATATAGAGCAGATTAATATCTGGAAACTCCCATGTCTGTCACTTAGTAACCAAAGTGTATGATTCATAAGATTCCTGAAGGGTTAACTGTGTATAGGTTAGATGGGTCTTTAGCTTACTAAAGTAGAGAGATAAATGGCTTTCTTTCTCAAATTTTTTTTCTTTCTCTAAATTGTTCCTAATACCCTGGCCCCAATCTAAAATTAGAGTCAGTATATATATACTCTTTCAGTTTCATGGGTTACTTGACTTTAAAAAATGATCTACAATAAACTGTCTTCCTTTGCTTTACCTTTATTTTCTCAACTTTCTGTTCTGACCTAAATTTGGTTTAGAGAAGAATTTTTTACTTAGAAATAGGCAGGATGCCTAAACCCCTGGATAAACACAGATCCAGGCTGGTGTTGGGAAAGGGATAATTGGTCCCTGGGAAAAAGGCAAAGGCTGGCCTTAGGCCGCCTCTTCTCTCAGTGACAGCAGCAAATGTGGGGGCAGGTGCTCCCCTTTTTCTATTGGTAATAAGCATTGGGAGGCTGGGAATTCAAACTGGAAGGAAAGTCAACCGTCTCTGTGTGTGCATATATGTGTGTGTCTATATTAAATATATGTGCTTATTTTTGCAGTATGTACACACACACTATTGTAGTTCCCTTTTAGACTTTACACTTACTAAGCCACTTTAGTGTTAATATTATCAGCAAAAAAAGAGAAAGAGGGAAAATAATTGGTATCTACCATAGGTATCTGGAATTGCTTATACCACATGCTAGTAAAGCCGGCACCTTCCTTTAGCCGTGCTCCCAAGTCGATTTGCTTCTCTCGGTGTTATTTTGTATCCTAGGTTACGATTAAGTTTAATTCCTCTTCCTAACTGCTCTGTTATTGGAGGTGAGTTTATGTGGATAAAATTATTTCAAATGTCCACTTATAGGTATTTCTGTTTTGTAAATGTAGCCTTAAAGACAAGTACTTCTTTTCAGTATTGTGCTGGACTCCAAAATTAGCTGTTTCTGAAATAGATGTGAAAAAAATTCTGTATTATTTTGTGGTACAGAGCCAATTAATAAGTGATGGTATGATTTGTACTTTATAGGAGTTTGCTTTTTGGAAGGTTGCATATCTTATTGCGAGGGAAGCTACTGTAATTTTTCAAAAATTAGAATTTTTATCTTCAGGTTTTTAAAATTCCCATTTCATTATCTTTGAACCATATCTTCTGGCAATACCAA